AAGGGGTCCTTGTGGTTAAGGGTGGGAGAGAGATGCTGTCCCAGGTGCCTCCACATTACAGGCCCCAGGGTAAGCTCCCCTCCTTGGGCTGCTGCTCCCCCCCACCCACTCCCCCCTGCTCCCGAGACTGCCAGAGGTGTCAGACCACAGCCCTTAGACTCCCGCTGTTCTTTGCTTGCCCTGAACCCTCCCTGCCCCGTGCTCCCCCACCCCCCCAATCTCACAACAGGAGCTCTGCGAGAAGCCTTTTAGGGTCTCAAGGATGAAAAGACAAGACCGTGGGCCTCAGGGACCTTAGGCTCTAGCCATGTCCCCGCCAAAGTGCTAAGCTTTGGTGACCCGTTCCTCTAGCGGCGAGCCATTGGCTCCAGTCATTTCCCAGCAAACTGGAGGGTGGCCTTGGAGAGGTCAAGTCTGAAATCCTGCCCTGTGACTGGCTGTGCGGGTGACTTGACCTCCCAGAGCTTTAGTTTCCCCCCTTAGGGAATAAGATGAGGGGTACTCATCCTCCGGAGGAAGGATGTTCAGAGCTCAGAATCAGGTGGAGAGGGGTCCCCCAGATTTATCCATCCCCTCTCCTCTTGTTGGGATGTGAAACCCAAGGGACAGCAGCCGGGGCCCCCTCTGCTCAGGCACCCCGTGTATGGCAATGCCAGCCCCTGATCTCTCCGGCTCTCTTCTCTTCCTTTGTAACACTGCACATAGCAAGCCGGAGCCTCGTCTTGCTCGTTCCTCCGGGGTGCTCCTGTGACTAACTCGGCACACATTCTCTGACCTACTGCTTGGAAAGTTAATGCCTCTTAATGAGTTTTCTTAGCAAACATGTTGATTTCCCTTTTGCGTTTTAATATCCAGTTGGAAGAAAAAAAAAAACCCAACTCTACCCGACAGAGCAATTAGTAGCCATCCCATTCCTCCATCCGACTGTAGAGTCAGCTCTCAGAGGGACCCTAGGCTGGGATGGAAACATCTTCCATTTGGCCAGGACTCCGGCATTAGCAGGAAACCCCGTTCATCCTCTCTTCTCCCGTTGCCCTCGCAGCAGTGGACCATGACCGGCTCCCGCATCGAGCACGTCGCCTCTCATCTCTGCCTGGACATGGACATGTTTGGTGAGGGTGCCGAGGTGGACAGGGAGATCGTCGTCAACCCCTGTGAGTCCTCCCTGATGAGCCAACACTGGGACATAGTGAGCTCCTGAAGGGCCTCCCGCAGCCAGTGGGGCGCGTCTGGGACACAGAGCCCACTGGACGGACGTTAGGCTGCGAGCAGCCCCCGACTAATCCAGACGCCCTGCACTGGGAGGCAAGGGCCAAGCCACCCAGGACAGGAGCGGCTGTCTCAGGGAACATGGAGGAAGATTGCAAGCCACGTGGGGCTCAGAGACAACCCCCACTTGTTCGTGGTGTGTAGAATGCCTATCCTGGCCATGTTTCCCAGCTGGTATCTGCAGACAGATAGCTCACGGGAAGATCCTGTTGTCCCCTTGTTTACAAAGGAGGCACTGGGGGTCAGGGAGATGAGGCTTCCTTGTCACCAGGCCAGGACAAAGTGGGACACTGAAGAATGAACGTTGTTTTTGAAACAAATAAAGATAAACCTTTTTTCTCTGCATATCGATTCCTCTTTTCTACTTATGTTAGTTTGGGGCTAAACTCGTAAGTTCTCTGTTCCATGGGCTGGGGGCCTCCTGGCAGAGTGGTCAAGGGGAGGAAGGACATTGGAAACCGGTGCTTATCCCAGCACTGGGTGATCTTAAAATGACCCGAACTTCTCAAACCTGTTTCCTCTCCTGTTGAGTGGGGGCCACAGGCCAGGTTGTTTTTACCCAGGCTTATGCAATCTGACTCATTTGGGGATGTTTATCTTACTCAGGTGCTGTGGGACTCAACCTGTGGATCCGGATTCTGATTTCACTGCCTGGTTCAGAACACTGCTCTGGACAGTTCTGTGTTCCCTACGGTCTTCCAGACAGAAGCCATTAACACAAGGGTTTCCTATTCTAATAAATCCCCGGTCTACCAGTGTGCCCTAGGAATTAGGCACTATGGCTACTTTGAGAAAGGCACCCCGGTGGCCTAGTGGGCTGCTAACTACAAGGCCAGCAGTTCAAACCCACCAGAAGCTCCATGGGAGAAAAATGAAGTTATAGAGATTCACAGCCTGGGGGACCCAAAAGGGCAGTTCTAGGCTGTCATATAGGGTTGCGGTAGGTCAGGCTCAACTGGATGGCAATGAGTTTGGGAGTGAGAGTATCAGAGAAGGATCAATTGCACTCTTGTACCCACTGCCATCAAGTCTAGTTTGACTCAGGGCTACCTTATAGGGCAGGGTGGAATTGCTGTAGTGGTTTTTCTGAGGTTGCAAATAGTTACAAACACAGACTGACCCTTCGTTTTCCCACCGTGTAGCTGGTGGATTTGAACCACTTGTCTTTCTGTTAGCAGCCCTATCCTTAAGTCACGGTGCCTCCAAGGCTCCTATATGATTTTAGGACTCCCAGACTATGCTTGTACGTTCTTTGTTATAATAAGTTCACCATCGGCTGTTTAGTAGCTACATAGCACAGTGTTCACAGAAGACCCTGAAACTTCATTTAAACGCATGACACAGTTATTATCTCATCATTTCTGTAGGTCAGGAAGCCAGGTACAGTTGAACGGCATTAATAATGTGCGCTTTAGGATTTTACAAGGTTACCTGGAAGGTGTTGTCCAAAGCCAATCATTCCAAGGTTCAGCTGGGGGAGGATCTGTTCCAAGATCTCTCCCTGGCTGTTGGGATGACTTACTTCCTGTCGTCTGTTGGCCAGAGGCCACCCTCAGCTTCCTGCATAGGGGCCTCTCCAACGTGGCGATTGGCTTCAGCAAAGCAAGGAAGTGGAGAAACAAGAGCTCCAGCAAGAGACTATACAAACAACATGGCATTCACGTAACCATATCACAGGCTGATTCCCACCCATAAATGGCCACCCATCATTGTTGCCACAAGGAGCCCTGGTGGCACAGTGGTTAAGTGCTTTGGTTAAGTGGTTAACCAAACGGTCAGCAGTTTGAGGCCACCAGCTGTTCCATCGGAGAAATCAATGTGATGATTGGTTTCTGTGAAGATTATTATTGTTGTCACTCACTCACTGCCCTCGAGTTGCTGCCAACTCAGAGCAACCCTCTAGGACAGGGTGGAATGGCCCCTGTGGGTTTTCGAGACTGGAACCCTTCACGGGAGTAGAAAGTCATCGTTCTCCAGGTGGTTGTTGTTAAGTGCCGTCAAATCCATCCTGACTCCTAGCAACCATACAGACAACAGAACAAAACACTGCCTGCTCCTGCACCACGCTCACAACTGTTGTGTTTGAGCCCACGGTTGCAGTCACTGTCAGTCCACCTTGTCGGGGGTCTTCTTTGTCACTGCCCTTCTGCTTTACCACGTCTTCCTGCAGGCACTCATCTCTCCTGACAACGTGCTCAAGGGACGTGAGACAAAGTCTCGCCCCATTGCATGCTGGCTATACTCCTTCCAAAAGCGAGCGGTTGGTTCTTTTGGCAGTCCATGGTACTTTCAGGGTTCTTCATAGCACCATCATTCGCAGACATTCTTTGGTTTTCCTTACTCGATATCCAACTTTTGCACGCATATGAGGCAATTGAAAATACCATGGCTTGGGTCAGGTCCACCTTAGTCCTCAAAATATCATCCTTGCTTTTCAACACTTTAAAGACATCTCATGCAGCAGGTTTACGGAATGCAATGCATCTTTTGATCTCTTGACTGTTGCTTCTGTGAGCATTGACAACTTCAATCTTTCCTCCATGTATCGTGATGCTACCTATTTCTCCAATTGTGGGGACTTTGGTCTTCTTTACATTGAGTTGTAATCCATACTGAAGGCTGCTATCCTTTGTTTCATCAGCAAGTGCTTCAATTCCTCCTCATTTTCAGAAAGCAAGGTTGTGTCATCTGCATATTGCAGGTTGCTAAGCCGACCTCCAATCCTGATAACACGTTCTTTTTCATATAATCTAGTTTCTCTGATGATTTGTTGTGAGCATCGAGATTGAATCAATATGGTGAGCGGATACAACACTGAAACACATCTTTCCTGACTTTAAACTCTGCAGTGTGCCTTGGTTCTGTTCTCACAACTGCCTCTTGATGGAGGTCTGAGTACCACCTGAGCACAATGAAGTGTCCTGGAATGCCTCTCAAGGTTATCCAGTTTATTACCAGCCACACAGTTGAATGCCTTTACATAGCCAATAAAACACAAGTAAACATATCTCTTATATTCTCTGCCATGAGCCATCTGACATCAGCAATGCTATCCCTCATTCAACATCGTCTTCTGAATCTGGCCAGAATCTCTGGGAGCTCCGTGCCATCTACAGCTGCCACCTTTGTTAGATGATCATTTACGAACTTTTATTTGCATGTGATATCAACAGGGTCTTCTATTGAGCATTCTTTTGGGTCACCGTTCTTTGGAATGGGCACAGATACGGATCTCCTCAAGTCAGCTGGCCAAGTAGCTGCCTTCCGAGTTTTCTGGCATAGATGAGTGAGTGCTTCCAGTGCTTCGTCAGCTTGTTGAAACCATTCCCTTGGCATTCCATCAATTCCTGGAGCCTTGTTTCTGGTAATGCTTTCAGTGCCGCTTGAATCTCTTCCTTCAGTTCTTGCTCTACAGACATTACAACTTAGAAACCGTATGGGGTGGTTCTCGTTCGTTGTAGGGTTGCTATGAGTCAGAATTGACTATGACAATGGGTTTGTTTGGGGGTAGGGAGTTGTTCATACCATATTCTATTCTATTTGCAGCAGCTAGCGTTTCTTCCTCACTCGGAACAGCTGGTGCTTTCTAACTGCCGGCTCTTCTAGTTAGCAGCCCGGCTAATAACCCACGACACCTGCGGTGCCCCTGGAGGCTTCCTCTCGGGGCAGTGAATTTCCTGTGTGCTTTATCACTTCGCTCTCTGAGCTCAACTTCAGTTTCCCTCGATTTTTCCCGGGGCCTTGGTGGTGATGGCCCACCTTCTCGAGGTCTCAAGCTTGCCTCAGTGGATGTCCTTTGTTCCCAACCCACGTCGACATGGATTTCTCCATCTGTGGCTTCTGCATTGTGAGAATGGTAAGACGCCTCCCCTAGGCCTGCCAAGAGCGTGGGGATTGCCTTTCTTTCGCCCCATATTGCGGTCCTGCTTCTGTGGCACCAGTGCTTCCCTGTCTGGTGGAGGGGGCTTGTCTAGTCTTTCCAGGCAGCCCGCTGTATGTGGGGGTCTCAATTTGAGCCCCTGTACCCCATGAGACTTGTGTGTGCTGATGATATTTATCTGGCTTCAGTTCTCTTGCCACTCTGGTGATCGATTCCCGCTTGTTTCTGTAATTTGGAATTTTCCCCATCCTTCTCTTCAAACGCAGCTGTGGTTCTACATTGTTTTTGTTGTATTTTAGTTCATATTTATGTGTGTCAGGGATGGGGTGGGGGCTGCCTGCGTCAGCTCAGACCAAACGTCCTCCGTGCTTTAATTAGCCGTCACCATGTCCCACGGGCTGTGGGGCCATATCTTACTGTAGACATTCAATACATCTCCGTGAGTGAGTGAGATAATAAGCTTGTGGTTTTTCAGTCCCACTTCCTAATTACCTCCTGGCTTCTGTGATCAGACGTTTGAGTTTTAAAATGACAACAGAGGCAGAAATGGAGGGGTGAGGTGACAAATTTATAACAATGCAAGCTCGTTATAATAAACATAGATGTAGGGATCATGCATATTTTACTTGATAATGACAGAGTTTAATACTGAAAATACTAACTGGAAAGAAATATCAGTAATGGAAATCTTTAATAGTGCAGTAGAAGCGCAGCAAGAAAGAATGTGTTCCCATAAACTCGGGAAGATGCAAGGGCGGCCGGGAGCACTTGTACTACATGGGCAAGGGCTGCCGGCATAGTCACTGGTACCTGGTAATGACCTGGGTGCTGGCTTGCCTTTGGGGCTTCAGTAGATTGCTTCCAGGAGGGGCTGCCGGTCCACCTATGGTCCACCAGGGTTTATCCACAGTGAAGGCAAGTCCCCCTCTCCCCACTCTCCACGCCTCTGGAGAGTCGGAGCCCAGACTCTTAACTCTTAGCCCTTGTAACTGGTGCCGATACCTAGAAGTGTCTTGGAGCGAGGGAATAAGGGTGGTACTAGAGTGACGTGC